TGAATCTGAGAAAATGGTTGGTGAGACAAGACCAGCATGGGTTGTTGTTCTTCAGTGAGAACTCGGTAGTATTTCTAACTACTAGTGTTCTAGATAATATTAGCCTTAAGGGCTAGAGTGTCAGTGATACTTGCTGTGGGACTTGAAGTGTATAGGCATTAACTTCATTTGAGGTTCATTCATTCATTCACTCTTCCTGAAGACACAATTGTAAATGTAAATATCAGACATGTTTGATATTATTTGGGTAAATCTTCTGAGTCTTTGAGCCATTCCAGAGATTTAAGACTGGTTCTTCGATTTATCACATTGTCAATATTTTTGTCCTGTTTCACCTCAAGGACCTTGGTGGGTACTGATATTTGGCACTCCTCTAGTCTATTAGAGAAACATTAGTGTTTCGATAGCTGATTTGAATTTGTAACGTGATTTACTGAGACAGATTGGTTCACCCAAAACACAGACTGCACGGATGCAAGTTGAGGGTAGAGACGGGATGTTCCAGTGAACTAGGGATCCCTTAGACAAGCGGAGATTCCAGATCACATTGGCTAAATTCGTCCCAGAGCTGTCGCATTCCAAGTCCTGTCGTTCTAGCCCGTGCATTCCTCACATGACGGCCGCTGGAAACCATAGCAAAGAGGGAGCAGAGAAGACATTCCTCAGCTGTCACCTAAACCCCTCCCCTTCAGTCATTCCCTCTCTGGCTTGACTTTCCCTATACAATGCCAAAGCCCAGCTGACTGGTGCTCACTGAGCTCCACTGAAGCAATTAGAGTGGAGGGGCTTGTTGCTTCACACAACAAAATCTACCCGCTGACCTACACCTGAACTTTTTCTTTAGCTCAGGATCTCTGACCCCCCCCCCCAAGACCAAGGTGACAGGATTCAGCTTAGCTTAACATGTCAGAGCTGGACATTACAATGCCCATGCTCTGTTGACATTACACACCCTCATTATTGCCCTAAAGTCTATGAACATTATCTTGCCTCGTCTCCA